GATCTTATGGAGGGTGCTTCTCTCTCTCTCTCTCCTTTCTCACACACACTTTTGTATAAAAATGTTCTATCATGAATAAATAAGAAAACATTTTGGGACCAACAGAGGGAATAGTGGTTACATCACTGGACTCTCACATGTCTGACCGCGGTTGAGTCCTGGACTTGGTGGCTTGAAAATCATGCTGGGTGTATGTGTGCGCATGACAAAGGTTCTGGGAGGAGAAAATTCAATAAGAGAAGAAAATTGCAGCATGGCTATCCCCTCTGGGGGCAATTTCTCATTTTTCCTCTTACTGTCTCTCTCTCTCTGGCGAGCGCACATTCCCTAAGGCAAAAATCTCATAAAAAGAAAGAAAGAAAGAAAGAAAGACAGACAGACAGACAGACAGAAAGAAAGAAAGAAAGAAAGAAAAAAGACAGTTTAAAAACAGAGAGAGAGAGAGAGAGAGAAGATGCTAACTTTAGCAAAGTTCAGAAATTCAGAATTAAAGAAGAAAGGATATCTTCCCTAGAGAAACAAAAACTGAGAGAATTCACCAGTACTTGACTTGCCCTTCAATAAATACTTATGGGACTCCTACACATGGGAGCAAAAGGAAGACAAAGACATGTGAAGGTATAAAATGTACCCTATGAGCAATCATATAAATGAAGAAAGAAAGGAACCAAATTCTACCATTATGGAAAGCTGCCAAGTCACAAAGATTAACAGAGAAAGAAATAAACAAAAGAAGCACAAAACAACGAAAACAATCAACAAAATGAGAAGAGTAAGCCCACATCTGTCTTTCATAACCTTGAATATAAGTGGATTAAACTCTCCAGTCAAAACACACAGACCAGGAGAATGGACAAGAAAACAAGAACCGACTATATGCTATCCAAAAGAAACTTGTCTCACCTGTGGAAAAAGACAATCCATGCATGTGGAAATCAATAGCAAGCAGAAGTAGCTATACTGAGTTCAGATAAAATAAACTTCAAGCCAAGATTGGTAAAAAGAAACAAAGAAGGTCATTCTATAGT